CTATAACCTTCTACAAATGCAGGGTTCTATAAATTCCTAATTTAGCAGTAGTTTATAGTTAAGTTTTGGGGGGTTAGCTGATAAATCCTTTGTGTGAGTTGACACTAAGATATGGTTGTTACGACAAATGCTGTTTCAAGATACTCATTATGTTCATAAAATAATATTGTGTCCATAGTAAGAGATTTGAAAGTTACTAAAAACAAGACAATGTCAGAAATTATCCTCCAAATCCAACACCCCTACTACCAAAAGCCAGCTAATAGTTGTAAATATTTGTGTGTGTGTGTGTGTGTGTGTGTGTTTAAGATTTATTTTATTTATACAAGAACCAGGATACAGGCCAGATGTGCAGGAGGGTGAGAGGATTCACCAAAGACAGAGCGGGGAATAGAACAGGCAGAATGACCAAAATACACTGCTGAGGGGAGCAGCGGGCGAGATAGGAGAGGTCTGCTTTGCTATGTGGTACCCTCGCTGGCTGGCTGGGATCGAACCGGCGCTACAGGGCTGCGGACAGCTTCACAGTGCGGTGCTCAACTGCCAGCACCACCAGGGGAGGCCCTAAATCATATATTTTAAACACATACAGGATTCATTTCTCTAGTGATTAAATATTTGGGAAAATCCCAGATTTTTAATGACCATTTAATATCACATGGTTTGGCATACCATTATTTAGGCCTAATGATGAACATTTTGTTGCTTCAGATTTCTCTTTCCCTGTGAAGATCCTTACGGACTCCTCCAGGTGGAGCTGGTGTGAGAAACTGATGAGCTGGAGCTGGTCCTTTGCAGTGCCCAGGCGTAAGCAGGCTGTGCAAGGCTGATTCATACTAGTTCCAGTGCACAGGGACCTCAGGGCGTGCCATTCTTTCCTCTGTCTCCCAGATGGAAGTGCTTGTGGTAGCATTGGCATAAATGACATTTTGGAAGGCAGTCATACTTGGAAATTCCCTTTTAGGAGAAAGGGAACTCTTCATGTAGTCAAGTGTTAGGGGAACCAGATGGCCCCATGGTGAACTTGGAGCCAGGAAAAGGGAAACGAGGTCTCTCTAGTGGCACAATATTGGGATGGTCTCACTCTCCCTTCTGCTCTTGAGAATGGACTTGACAGAGGACAGATTACAGGACATCTGCCAACTGAAGTGCACTTGAGCACGTTCATGGGCTCTGCCTACAGATACTCTGGACTGTTGTGTGTCTGTGTTGAATACCTCTTCTCATTGACAGCATTTATTTTGTGAGTTGATGCCCTCAGTCAAGTCTGGAGAATCTAGTAGCTTTTCTCTCTTTCCATTGATTTTGCATCCTAGGTTTCTGATCCATGTTGAGTTGATTTTGCTGTTTAGTGCTCAGTAGGAAATGGCAGTTTCTTTATTCCCAAGTTCTCGGAAGGATACCTCACCATAGCCTTTAATTACTTATAACTTTCAATTAATGTGCACTATTATGTGAATCTTGTTATTTTTATATTTCTTGAAGGGAAATTTTAGAAGTCAAATCATTGAATTCAAGAGTCAACATTTTGGGGGGACTGATCAATTATAAATTCATCTCTAGAAAAGAAGTTCATTCTGGAACATTATGAGAATGTTCATTTCATTTTACATTTATCAATAATGGGCAATAGATTTTTTTTTAAAAAATGCAAAAGTGAAAGGCAAAAGAGTGTTTATTTTAACTTGCATGTCATTGATTTTCAGCGAACTAAATACTAACATGTCTTCTAAAACAAGGTGGAGGATTGGCTGGCTGAGTTATGGAGGGCCACTTCTAGTTTTCAGATGTGTGCAGACATCCTTATGGCACTGCCCATGGTAAGAAAAGATTTCCTGGCTAAAACTAATAAAGATGGATGTGCTGTTCTTGGAATTCCAGGTAGTACCATCGTGAGGACTTCATGCACTTGCTCACTGTTTCAACAGACAGTTATTAAGCACCTACTTCCAGTGGACTACGGTAGGCATTGGAGACATCGGGATCAGCAAGACACACTCTGTGCACTTAGGAGTTTACAATCACACAGCTGAGACAGACAGTTAAAAAGCAATGTGAGGGCCTCCCTGGTGGCGCAGTGGTTGAGCCGCTGGGTTGCGAAGCTGCCCGCAGCCTCTGCAGCGCTGTTTCGATCCCCAGCTGCCAGGTGAGGGTCCCACATGGTGGGCAGACCTCTCCTGCCACCCCCGATGCTCCCCTCAGCAGTGTATTTCGTTGGTCTGCCTGTTCTGTTCTCCGCTCTGGTTCTGGTGAATTCTCTCACCCTCCCGTGCTTCTGACTGTACCCAATGCTTGTATAAATAAATAAATAAATAAATCTTAAAAAAAAAAGGCAATGTGACAAGCACAATAGGATGCCTTGGAAACAGAGGGAGTGAGATATGGCCAGTGCTACCAGTACACTGTCCCTTTCCTCCTAGCTCTAAGGTTTGAAGACAAAGAGATGATTAGATTAGAAGTAAAGATAATTTGTGGTTAACTCATAATGGTACTGCCATAAACCCTCACTGCACTTTTTTTTTTTTAATAGAGACATGTTTTATTTATTTGTTTGTTTTGTTTATACATGCACTGGGTACAGTCAGAAGCGCGGGAGGGTGAGAGAATTCACCAGAGCCAGAGCGGGGAGCAGAGCAGGCAGAAGGACTGAGGTACACTGCTGAGGGGAGCAGGGGGCGGCAGGATGGGTCTGCGCGCCATGTGGGACCCTCCTCCAGGGGCCGGGGAGCAGCTGGGGATCGAACTGGCGCCGCAGAGGCCGCGGGCAGCTTCGCAACCCAGCGCTCAACCGCTGTGCCACCAGGGAGGCCCCCCTCACTGCGCTTTTTTAAATGAACTATATTACCTGCTACTTTCGTAGCAGGCACCAGAACATGAGCAGTAACAGATTAATTAACCGGGACAACTAATCAGATCTAGTGAATGAGAGCTGGAAAATCTAGTACTTTCTCTGGTTATGTAAAGACAACTCAGTTATCTCTAAAGAGTGAGTAAAAAGGTCTGCAGGGAAGATGGGGGGAAAGGAATGCTTTGGACAGGATGCTGGTCAGACACCCACAAAGCCTACACATATGAGTGATCCAACAGTTTATATTCCCTCTAAGAGAACTGTTCTTCTTCAAAGTGGCTGGATCTTCACTGAAATTATCCTCATTTAGGCATTCAATAAATATTTACTGAGCATCCACTATAGTTAGATACTGCTTTAGGATCTGGGGATTCAGCAGCAAACAACCTAAAATATCCTGCTTTCCTGCAGCTTCTAATTTAGTGAGGAGGGGAAAAGACAGATAATTAAATGAGTAAAACATCCAGTTTGTCAGATGGTGATAAAAACTATGGAGAAAGTCATAGCAGGGCAAGGGGTATAAGAATGCTAAAGATGAGGGTACTGCTATTTTGTATGGGCCATAAGAGAGACTTTCTGATAAGATGATATTTCAGCAAACACCTGGAGGGGAAAAGCTAGCTATGTACTTATCTGGGGGAAGACATTCCAGGCAGAGAAAGGGCTTGTGCTAAGGCTCAGAGTTGCTGCCTTTCACTGATCAGAAAATTAGCTGGTTTTATAGAATTTGGTCTGAGAATTGCCAGGGCAGGTGGAGGTGGGCAGGTGGGAACAGTGGCAGACACTACAGGTGCCCTTAGGGAAATCTAACTGGCAAACTTCCTGGTGCCAGAGGCTTTAGCAGTTGCCACTGGCATTTCCTTTTGATAGCCTGAGCCCCCACTTAAAGTAGGAGTTGTTTCCAGCAGTCACGGAGGCCATGTCTTTTCTTTTCTTGAGGAGCAAGGCTGGTAGTCTGGGGGATGGGTAAAGCAGACAGAGAGGGTGAAACAAGTCTCTGCCTTGTCTTTCTTGCTCTTTGTGGATTGCTCTTTGTTTCCTGATTTCTCTAGTACAAATCAGAGTCCCTTTGGAGCTAAATTTCCATAGAGCTGGGTTTGGAGGGTGTGGGCAAGGGCTGTAAGGATTCTCAGTTGACTTCCATGAATGCAGAAAGTCACACAAGTAGAGGAAAGAAAGGAACACACATTGCTGAGGGGGTAGTATTAATTTTACCCACAATTATTTTACTGACGGGCTATTCATTTCACCCACGTTATTACTATCATGATTAGATCATCACCACTACTCTGCAAGGTACTTATTGCCCCTATTTACAGATGAGGAAAATAAGGCTTAAAGATACTGGCTATTTCCCTGCCTATAAAAGTACGTACACTTCATAAAGATTTCACACCAAAAAAAAATGTGAAAAATAGTAAGTGAAAGCGCCCTGTGTCTCACCTCAGGGACAACAACTAGGGCTAGGTCTCAGCTTTCTGAATTTTTAAAATGTATACAAACACAGACACACAAACTTGCAACCTTTTTTACTAGGACCTGGGACCATATTATTTGGAAACTTCCCTTTCTTCTCTCTCTGTTTTTGTTTATATATTTTATGATATTTTAAATTATTTTATTTTATTTATTTTTTACAGCATCTTTCATTTTTGCACAATGCATGCATTTTCATCTTGGTTATATTCCCCATACAATTCCCACCCCCCCTATCCTTTCTTCTCTCAGCGGTGCAGGGGTTTTTGGGGAGCCAGAGCTTTCTGAGGACACCCCGGGCTGTGTGACTTCACAAGCGTCGCCTTAGCTGCCAGCGTGCCTTTCCCCCATTGACAGAACGCGGGTTGGCACCTCCGCCCCCCGCCCGCCTCGTGATAATCTGGAATATTCCAAGGTCCAGCCCCAGCTGACCAAGACGGCAGCCGCAGTCAGATGACGCAGCCGCGCGGGAAAACTCAGCGAGCTCGGGGGCTTCCAGGCGCTGGTCGCGTGGATACTGACGACCGCGTCAGCGGGGCGGGACCTGGGCGGGGCGGGCGAGGGCGGGGCCACGGGCCTGAGCGCGTGAGGGCCGGTAGGCGGGCCGCGGCGTGACGCAATCAGCGCCCGCGCCTGGCCCTCCCGCGCGGCCAGGCCCCCCCCCGCCCTCGGCCGCGCGCGGACGCGGCGCTGGCGCAGCGATGGCGGAGGCCGTGGAGCGCACTGACGAGCTGGTCCGCGAGTACCTGCTCTTCCGCGGCTTCACGCACACACTGCGGCAGCTGGACGCCGAGATCAAGGCGGACAAGGAGAAGGGGTTCCGGGTGAGCGCCGGCGGGCGCGGCGCGGCCGGAGGCGGCCCCGGGGAGCCCGGGCGGATCTCCTCAGCCCTGCCCCCCGGGGCGGGCGCGGCGCTGTCAGCGCGCCCTGGGGCCGGCGGCATCTGCGCGGCCCCGAGGGGGCCCTGCCGCGCCCCAAGTTACCTGCTGAGTCAGGAGAATGGCCGGGGCTGGAGCCGGGGTGCCCAGGCGCCGGGGCCCCGCTCCCCGCCCCCCTCCGCCCCCCCGCCTCAGCCCCCCGCCAGGTGCTGGCAGGTCGTTGGCCAAGATGGCGGTGGGTTTTAGGTGCTGAGGGTTGGTGGATGGTTGAGTTTTGGCACCAGATATTTCCGAGTCGGCGTCCCGTGGCCCCGGAGCGAAGGGGACCGCAGCCCAAAGTGCTCGCTGGGTTCCCGTGTCTCTAGGGTTTGTCTGAAATGGCTTGGGCAGCGACTCAGGCGATTTTCTGCAGTGGGAGAGACCTTCTTGTTGCCCATTTTAGAACCATTAATTCTGTGTGTGGTCGTCTCGTTTTTTTCTCTACAGTGTTTGTTTTCGATGATTGTTTTTTTCTTAATTGGACAAGCACTTACTGCCTGTTTTAATTCATTAAACAGCCCCTACTTAGACGTGATCTTCCCTTGAGAAGTTCTTGGAACTTGCAGGTGTGTTTGCTGACTTCAGTTGGTATCCACGCTCGAATGGACGAAGGCAGGGAACTAGCAGCCAGCGCCCTGGAGGGGAGTCAGGAGGCCTGAGTTCTTGTCTTGCTATAGTGGCTTCGTAGAGGCAAAAGCGAATCATTTCAGCTCTCCAAACCTCAGTGTCCTGGTGTATAAAAAAGGGAATATTGGGACCTCCCCGGTGGAGCAGCGGTTGAGCGCTGGGCTGCGAAGCTGCCCGCAGCCTCTGCAGTGCCGGGTTTGATACCCGGCTGCCAGGGGAGGGTCCCACGTGGCGCGCAGACCTCTCCTGCCGCCCGCTGCTCCCCTCAGCAGTGTGCTTCGGTCCTTCTGCCTGCTCTGGCTCTGGTGAATTCTCTCACCCTCCCGCGCTTCTGACTGTACCCGGTGCTTGTATAAATAAATAAATAAATCTTTTTTTTTTTAAAGGGGGGATACTGGATTGTTACTAGTACCCAAAACCTTTTTGAGACTGTGTGCTCTGTCATTGGGAGGTGACTTCTTTGACACCCTGAGCTGCTCCCAGGGCTTTGGTGGCACTCTGGTGACTTGAAGGAGTCAGTGTCTCTCATGCAAAGTCTCAGAATCCTGGACTGGTGGGGGTCCACCAGTGGGAGGACAGTGGAAATTGTCTGACTCTTTTATTATTATTATTATTTTAAAGATTTATTTATGCATACAAGAGCTGGGGGGCAGGACAGAGATGGGGGGAGGTGAGAGGATTCACCAGAAACAGTGGGGAGCAGAACAGCCAGACTGACTGAAATACACTGCTGAGGGGAGTAGCGGGTGAGACAGGAGAAGTCTGCTGTGCCATGTGGGTAGCTCCCTGGCCAGCCTGGGATTGAACTCGTGCTGCAGAGGCTGCGGATTTCTTCATAGTGCGGTGCTTAACCCTTTGCGTCACCAGGGAGGCCCTCTTTTATTATTTTTTAAAATATTAGGCAGCTGACACCAAGAGTTGACGTGACATTGCCACGTTGGTAGAATAAGTCAGAGGCAAATCCAAGACCTCTACTCATCTGCTTCTTGGCCTGAGTGCTTTCATGCCTGAAATCTCCGTGCTTACTAGAGGGCCAAATCACAGGGCTAACGCCAGAAACTAACTTACAAGCTGTCATGCCAGTGTGTTTAGGAAGGTTTGTAGATTGCTAACTTAAAAAAAAAAAAAAAGAATATCCAGAAGGCACAATAAGAGGTCAAAGCGGTGTTAACTCTGCAATGAGGGGAGAATTCCCTTCTGTCTTTCCCACCTTCTCCATCCCAGCTTTCTCTCACCAGGTGGACAAGATTGTGGACCAGCTGCAGCAGTTAATGCAGGTGTATGACTTGGCTGCCCTTCGGGATTATTGGAGCTACTTAGAGCGGCGGCTCTTCAGCCGCTTGGAGGATATATATAGACCCACATCAACAAACTGAAAACCAGCTTGTTCCGCTTTTATCTCGTCTACACAATCCAGGTGCTTGTTGGCCCAGGGTCTGCTTTCTCAGTGGAGAGAGTTCTTTGCTCTAGAAATAGATTTCTTTTTAACCCCTAAGGAGGACCCTGTGTTACTCTGGAAAAGGGTGTAACAGTCACAGTGCAAGTTCGTGTTGACTCTTTTCCTACATTTTTTTCCTTTCATCTCTAGATCATCTGACTTGTCTTCCTCATTCCTATTTCCTCTCGTTTTAAGAACATAAGCCTGGGTAGTGTTTCAGAGAACATAAGACGCTGATTAAGGTTTGAGTAATAAATTTGATAGCTAAACTGGGAGTATAAAGCACTTAGATGATTTGAAAATCAACTGGGAATTAATTTTTAGGAGGGCATTTCTCATCAGGACTTCAATTTAAAGTAGCTTTGAAGTTGTAAGGAAACTTGAGAAAGAGTGGTTTCCTTTGTTTTATGGAGTTTGTAGCCATTCAAAGCCTCTACAGTGCAGTGACAAGAATCTTCCCTCTAGACTTCTGTCTTTTCCTCCTTGCTTGGCAGACAAACAGAAACGACAAGGCTCAGGAGTTCTTTGCAAAGCAGGCCACGGAGCTCCAGAACCAGGCTGAATGGAAGGATTGGTTTGCCTTGCCCTTCTTGCCATCCCCAGACACCAACCCCACCTTTGCTACCTACTTTTCTCGACAGTGGGCTGACACCTTCATTGTGTCCCTGCACAACTTCCTGAGCGTCCTATTTCAGTGTATGCATATCCTTTTTGCTGCCTGGAGCTGTAGGCCCAATCTGAAGCCACCAGTGTGATCAGTGGTGGCTGCCCTGATGGGGATGCAGCCATTTCGTCTACAAAATCCCCTGGGACTGTTGTCATGTATCATGTGAAGGGGCTGGAAAGATTCTGGTTATTTTTGTCACTGGGCCAGGGAATCATAAATCTCGGCTCTGATGCTCAATGCTGAAGTAATAGCTGAATGCCTGGGCAGAGACTATAGTAGAGGTGGGGTGCTAGTGCCATTTTTGAGAGGAGCCCTCAAATAGGGTGAAGGGCTTCTCTCAGCAAATACAGGGTTGAAAGGCAGCTGCTGCTTAGTGCAGCCTGCCAGCCTTGGGAAGCACCGTCTCTGCAGGCTCTGTTTTCCCTGGATAGCACTTGCCTTTGTTGGGTAGAGGTGGTAAATGAGGACACATCCCAGGCTGGAACCTTCTGCGTGTGACAATTTGGGTGGCTTTCTCTGGCAGTGATGTCAGTTTTTCTCAATTTGCCAGGAAACAGCAGCTTTAAGAACACACAGGTGGATATTTGAGAGAGAAAGAATGTAAATCTACTATTTTCTCACAGAAAGCCTACCATCCCAGGCTGGGCCATCCTCCGCTGCTCATGCTCTCCAGACCTGCATTCTCAGGAGAAGGGAGTTCTGTTGGAAGGGGGCTGCCTGGTGAGGCATTGATAATGTGGGCCTGCTAGAGCCCCACCCACCGGCCCTTTTGGCCTCCGGGAGGAGCAGCTTCTAGTGGAGGCAAGAAGGGTGCCCTTTCCTTTCGCTCTTCATCCTGAGTGCTCTCAAAGGAAACTAGCCAGGGGTTCAGCCCAGAGGTGCTTAGGACATGTGGGCCCTCTAGGGAGCTGAGAAATGTCGCTTAAGATCTGTTCAGTGCCTGACAGTGCCCCTCAAACTAGGACCAGCACATTGGAGCTCCAGTTCTTTCCTCAGTGCCCAGGCCCTCCCTGCTTTGTGTTCCTCCTGACAAAAGCTGTTTGAGGTGATTGGGGAAGACTGATACTCTAACCTTGAAGGTGGATTGCTTCTCCATCATGCAGTCTGCAGAAACCTCTCTGCAGTCTAAACCTTTCCATCTGCAGAGGGCAAAGCGGCATGGCCGGCGTGTCTGTGCAACTGGTAGAGCAGTTGGCAGTGCATTTACGGAGCCACTGGCCTCTGTGCTGAGTTTGCTGAATGTAGCTCTCACTTAAAGAGCCCACAGCACCCAGCCTGTCCTCCACTCCCTGTGACTCACATTCAAGGGCTGTGCTAGTGTGTCAAGAGTTTGAGAAGGGCTTTAATGGTTTCGCAAGCAGGCTTATTCTTTAACTTGGTGTACCAGTTCCCGTGATCCTGAACTTCGACGCGGAGTGCCAGCGGACCAACCAGGTCCAAGAAGAAATGAGGTTCTGCGCCAGAAGGTTTTCTGAACACACTTGCTCCTCCTTGGGAAGGACTTCTGCTTTTTGTGTATGAAATTAGGTAGTGGCAGCAGGGGGCTGATTAAATATAGGAAAGCAGTGATCTCAGATGAAAGTGAGTCACCAGAAAGCCGGTGTCGGGAAGGACGGGCTGCATGATCTCTGGAAACCAGAGGCACAGTTTGAATGTCAAGCTGTGCACGGCGAGCGACATCGAGCAGTGATGAACTTGTAAGAGGAGAAAGACTATCCATGCGCCGTGTCGCTGCCCCAGGCCTTTTCCACACGTCTCGTCGTCTGTGTTGCGGGTTTAATTCTGCTCAGTTCAGTGTTTTCTCGTTCAGTAAATGATAGCCAGGGAACCATGTTTCCCTTTGCTTTTTGCCTGAGGAGCATTTCTCTGCCCTAGAAATGAAGAGATCTGTAGATTACATGTTCAGCACAAGGAAGAGTAAAAGCTCTTTTGGCTTGGGAGTTTCAGATTCTTGGGTTTTGTTCAGGCAAAAGGTTAAAATTCTGAACTTCAGTTTTTTTCCAGGAGTTCCCAAGCCCTTGTAAAGCAGGATGGGGTGGGACTCTTTCTCCGTGAATTCGGGAAGAAGTCAGTCAAATGATAAAAAGGAAGCAAGTCAAATGATTTAAAAAAAAAAAAATGGCTTTTGTATTTCTGATGGTTTTTGGTTTCACACATTAAGTTCAAGTCACGGCGACCACTTGCCCATTATTCCCATCTGATCTAACTCTCTCTGGGCAGAGTGAGAAGAGCATGCTGAGGTGGAGGGCCAGGGTCTTTTGAGCCAGAGAAGGGCTTTGCGTGTGTCCAATCTTCCCCAGTGGAAGGAAGATAAGGTGAGATCACAGTCTAACTCGCCCCACCCTCTTATGTAGCTTTTTGCATTGCAAGCCGAAATCCACCGACTAAAGAAAGAGGAGCAACAGCCAGAAGAGGAAGAGGCCTTGGTCCAACACAAATTGCCTCCGTATGTCTCCAACATGGACCGTTTTGGGGACTCGGAACTGTGAGTGTGCCCTGCATTGTGTGGCCGGGACGACCAAGCTCCCTGCTCTCCTCTGTCCCCTGAGCTCCCATCTAGGGGCATCTCGCTGTGCCCTCTGCACCTGGTGATGCAGAATTGCCAGATCCTGGCACTCGCTGCCCTTGCTTCTGAGCTCTGTGAGTACGGGCCCCTGGCCTGAACATCCTCTAGAAGTTCCCCCCCAGTGCCCGGCCTTCGAGCCTGCCCAGAGGGAGGAGCTGCACCACTCTGCCAGGGCCTGCATGTCCAAGATGTGCACAACCTGAATAAACCAACAGCTGCTGTTGTGCAGCCGTGGGTGGTTTTTGAACTTTGAAGGGCGCACCTCCTGGATGAAAGGATTGGCCGCTGCAGGTTGGATGTGTTCAGCCACAGAAACACACTCCAGCGTGAGGGTTTGTGGAAGCAAGCAGAATGGGGAGTTATTTGAGTGACCTTCAAAATAGCCAGTTCAAGCAGAAAACCCAGGTGCTAATGGGAACAGTAGCAGTTGAAGGAACAGAGCCAGCGACAAGTTGTGGTGGATGATCAGGTTGTCAGGATGCAGACCCAGTGGTGAGATTCCACACCTGCACGCAGCCAGAGGCTGTGTCTGCGGAAGCTGTTCTGGCATCTGAGCTTGTGACATCCACTGGGGTTTTTGTTCAGGCAAAAGGCACAACCATGATTGTAATTTAAAGATTTTTAATAACTATATTAGAAAAAAGTAAAAGGAAAGAAAAAACTTAATGATATATTTTATTTGGCCTGATATATCCCAAATGTCCTCTCAACATGTAAGGAATAGAAACAAAGTATTAACGGGACAGTTATACTTTTTCATGCTGATGCTTGAATTCCCGTGTGTATTTTCCTCATCCACACATCTGGATTTGGACTGATCCCATTTCAGCGCTCATCACCATGGGTTGCTAGTGGCCAGTGCCCAGCACAGCTCTGAGTGTGACCACAGCCTTCGAACCCACCTCTGTGCCAGCTAGTCTGCTGGCTCCCTTTGGTAGGAGAAATGGTACTGATACTGATACATTAAGGTGATACTACCTTAATGCCCAGGCCTGTGAACCCCGCTACAGCTGGGTCCCTGGCATCGGTTATAGCTCAGGAGGTCTGTGTTCCGGATTCTTCCGCGTCCCTTCCACCTTGTGACCTTGTGGTGTCTCTCTGACCAGAGCCATGGTGTGCAACCAGAGGAACACCTCCCTCTCTCAGTCACCTCGTGGGCTCTCCTGTCCTCGCTGCTGCCACAGAGTAAGAAGAGCCCTTCAAGGTTGTCACCTGCTCAGGGGCCCCCTCAGATTCAGAGCTCGGCCAAGAAAGACTCCTTCAGCAGCCAGGTAAGCTCAAATCCCGCCTCTCTAACTTTGCCAAGAGCCTGTGACATCTAACCTGTGTTGAGATCTGCAAGTGCAGACTGTGTGTCCCCTTTGGCTGATTTCTGGTGTGCCGAGGCATTCCGTTTCTTCCTCTCCGCCTTCCCCTCACAGACGAGTATGATTCTGCAGGATGAGACTGTTGGGAGGGTATAGAGGAGGCACCGAGAAGGAAAATCCACTCACGGCATTCCGACTCTCTGCCTGCTCCCTCTCCCCTCACTCTAGTATTGCAGGTGTTGCAGGCACACTGAGCCAGCGGGGAGGTATTGATCAGCCCCAGGGTGCTCCCCTGTGCCAGCTCTCAGAAGCTTGACTCTGCAGGTGCAGGAGTGGAGGGCAGTGAGAGGAAGGGTGCTTGGAAGGTTCTCCCCTTTTCTCATCAATTTCCTATGAATGCAGGAGGACTGACCACTGTGATTGGTCTTATGATTCAAGGGTAAATTGAAGTGATTCTGGAATTTTGAATTTTGGCCAATGTAAAGTAGCATGTAAAGAGTAAATTAGAGTTACTTCTGAATTGATGTATTTCTTTTACAAGTGATATTTACTGATGCTGCAAAGATTGATTTTCAATTTTTCACTTGTATAGAAGCTTGCAAGAGAACTTTTATTATGCCTGGTTATTTCCAAAACAGCCACAGGTCCCACTGAATAGTTTTTAGTAGAGATGGTCTGAATTTGTTGCTTTTAGAATTTATTGTTATCAGAGAACAAGTTTAACAGACCCGCAGTTATGCTGTATTGCTTGCAGAGAGACCCTTTCTCTTTTAATATAGTTTTGTTTGTACAGATAGAGTAAGTCTTCATGGTCTCTGCCTTTTTCTGCTCTGAGCTTGAGAATAGTCGAGAGTCACGCGGCACAGCTCACCACATCAGGGAGGCAGGGTCAGCCCTAGCTGCCATCGGGGAGTCGGGCTTTCTAGCCCAGGACTTTGGATTACTATTGTTGAAGTGCAGACGCTGAGCATGACACCGGAGAAGAAACAGGCAACTGAGTTGTCAGCTTTGAGCCCTCGTTTATCACCCTTGCTCTGATTGCTTACACTTGACCTAAGGAGCGTGGCATAATAATGACAGTACTTATGCTCTTGTGGGAGGGTTAGCTGAGGTGATGTAAGCGCCCCCAGTGTATGCCTGAATATCATAAACTCATAGTGAGTACATTTTAGTAGTAACTGTAGTAATTTAGCAGTAATTGTGAAGGTACCAGCCTACTTGAGGACCCTTGTGGTTTCTGAGACCTGAGTGCCAAATGACTATAATCTTATAATCCGTGATGGTCCAGTCGAGGCAGTCAAAAATCAATCATGGTTACTCTTACTTTAGACTGTTTCTGAAATTCAAACCTTAAAATTATAAATCCAGTTCTGTGGCCAGAGTTAGTTTTACTATTTGTGGCACAGGTCTTGTTCACCTTACAGTTTGCTCAGTGCAATAGTAGATGATGTGTGGCATGTGAAGGCCCTTGAAATGTGCAGGAAGTTATGAAATTTCATTTGCATGGATCTTAGAGGGAGGCTCTGGGAGTTAGGCCTGTGCCCTTGCTCTTTATGTGTTCAGGAGCTCAGTGTTGTATGGTGAAGTTGAAGTGGGATTGGAAATTTCTAACATAGTTCACATTTAAGAGCTGAAGTTAGAAATGTGTCATTTGCAGCAGACATTCCTTACCTTGCCTCTAAAATATCTTTAACTCCATGTGGTGTGTTGACAGAGCAAAGGCGGCCCTCTTTCTGGTTCCTGACTGCAAAGGTCTATAATCTGAAAAAGCCCCAGGACTGGGCTGCCCATCAGTCTGTTACTGATGATAGATCAGTTAGTCTCAGCATTGATATTTTAATTCTAAAAGTAACTAGTGGGGCCTCCCCGGTGGCGCAGCGGTTGAGCGCTGGGTTGCGAAGCTGCCCGCAGCCTCTGCGGCGCTGGTTCGATCCCGGCTGCTCCCCGCCACCAGAGGAGGGTCCCACATGGCGCGCAGACCTCTCCTGCGCCCGCTGCTCCCCTCAGCAGTGTACTTCTGTCCTTCTGCCTGCTCTGCTCCCCGCTCTGGCTCTGGTGAATTCTCTCACCCTCCTGCGCTTCTGACTGTACCCAGTGCATGTATAAACAAAACAAACAAACAAACAAACAAATAAATAAATAAAAACATGCCTCTATAAAAAAAAAAAAAATAAAAGTAACTAGTGGATTTGAGGTTCAAGAAAATCAAAGAATGTTACTATTGGAAGGAAGCTTATAGGTCACGTGACCCACTTGTTTATCGAGTAGAGGCTACATTCTTTGGATTGATTGCCTCCTATGGTGGAGCTCACTCCTTGTTGTGTTTGACTGTTAGAAAGCAGGTAATAGAAACCTCTGTGTATTCGTATTAACTGCTCTCAACTTTGCTCTCTGGAGTTATCGAGAATAAGGCTTCTTGAGAGCATACCCCTGTCTTTCCATGCCAGCCCCTGTTCATTCCTCTCTCTCCAAGACTGTTTACCTGTATGGAATGACTTCTAGACTCCTCACCATCCTGTAAGGGGACAGTCTAATTTTTTAATTCCTCTACTGCAATTGATGCCCAAATATAAGTGTATGTTTGAGCTGCTCTTTTACCAATATTGAATGCAGTTAGTTGTATGATCATGCCCTATGATTTTAAATCTACTGCTTTTAACTCAGTAGAGAGTGACATTGATTTTTAAAATTATTATTTACTGACAGCATATAGTCAGCATGTAGTCTTCTTCTCACTACTCCCTCACCAGTAGGGTGAGTGTAAGCAAACAAAGAAATAAAAAAGCCTGTGTCATTAAATTAGCAATACATAAAATGATTAGGCTCTCGCACATTAGCTATTCACATATGGCATTGTCAGTTTCACTTCACATTTTACCCACTTGGAAGTGGCTGTCACGGTTGTCAGTAATGTTCACAGCTTATAGGTGGATATGAATTTGGGGTTAAAATTCAGAAAGCAAAATGGAAACAACTGTAAAACCACAATTCCCAAGCTCTTCTAGGATTGCTTACAACAGCCAGGGAGGGCATCTCAGCAGCACGCTCGCCCACCTGCAGCTTGTCCTCCATCCTCCCCTGCAGCTGTAATTCCACTCCTTCCACACCCACTTGGTAAGCCATGGGGCTGCAAGTGGGGATTACCTTATTATAGAGATAGCCTTTAATTGACTGTAATGTAAGGGAAGCAAAGCATCCACAAAAGTTGTGTGTTTGTAATGCTTATTAGTGTCTAATTACCTCATAGCTACTGAGACATCGTGGTACGAACAGCTGCCCTGGGGGCTGTTCCATGGATCTTAGGAGGATGGGAAAAGGCATGCACTTCTGTGTCATTCATTCTGTAACTTGTGTGTTACGAGGGCCTGTCTTCTGGGTGGTGGTATTGCTTCCGATGAAACCTAATTATTAGAACTCATTATCTGCCCATTTGCATGACCATATGGCAAGCTCTGTTCACACCACTGAAAATTAACTGGTGTTGATTTATTTCTGCGCCAGAATGAGAAGGGAGAAGGTTGCTGAGACACAGGTTGAAATATCTCTCCTGGACTGTAGACAAATATAATCAAATATAATTGAATTATAAGAATCTATTAGTTAAAGTTTTTATGAACTTTGCTGTTAAAGAAGTTTTAGTTACCAGTGATGTCACTAAACATTTAATAATACATATTTGACTGAGACACAAATTTACCTTCATTTATTAAAGATTTTTCTGGACAACTGTACTCATCAACTTTTCATACATTGTTTTTTGCTGTGGTTCACCCTGCTTTAGTCAATAACTTAGGTATAATTTAAGGAGATGCTCTCTTGACACAGTGTCTTATAGATCACACTTAGGTCTATAGTGCCCTTAGTCTAGGGCACCTGTTCCCAGCAGGGTGAATTCTGTGATTAAATTCATTGCAGTGCCTTTTCAACTTTTCTTTTGAAACACTGTCTAGCCCCTGCCTGATGATGTACTATACAACTTCCTGGCTATCTTGAACAGAGAGGTGATTATATAGTGGATAGATACCTTTTTCATATCGCGAGCACACTAATATAACATTTACAAGCAACAAAATGTTCGTAAAACCTGGCATAAGGCCTGACCTGCCTCTCATCACTTAGTAAGTACTGGTCTTCTCCCTTAGCTAAAGTTAATGGCTCTGATTAGGTCAAGAAGATACCTGTCTGTCTGTCTGCAGACAATTAGGGCAGGCTGACAGTTAGGACAGTGACAGGGCTTGCTGAGGGGTGTGGCAAAGGGCCCCTAAAATCAGGGAATCGGAGGATGGAAGGAAGTCTAGATGGCTTATTTTATGTTTCACTTTTGCCTTTGCCCTCTGGCTGGTAACATTTAACTGTTGCTCAGCAAGGCCTGGAGGTACCTCCCCAAGAACTATTGGGAGAGAGCAGGAGAACCCTTCTCCCCTCCTGGCCAGGCGTCAGGGCCCGAGCTCTGGCGGGAAGAGACCTTGCACAGCCTGTCCTCTGTCCCCAGGTGCCAGGGAAAAGGATCCTGCGTGGGGCCCAGGGAAGGAAGAGCCCATTCAGCGGCTGGCTGCCGGGGAGTCCAGCTGGTCACAGCACGGCAGCGGCGCCTGCAGGATCATGGCAAGGAAAGGAAGGAGCTTCTTTCTATGACTTTGCAGTGAGGCTT